ATAAGATTTGTTTGAAAATGTTTCCAACTTTAAAAGTTGGGCTTACATAAAAAGTGCAATACGACAAGCTCAAGTTTCATTTGTGGGCTGTATTACATTATACTTTTTGAATTTGCCGAGGGCCATTTCAAAATGGACCGCGGGCCGCATTTGGTCCCGGGCCGTAGTTTGGACACCCCTGATTTACATGAACAAAACCTACACACAGGAAAGGGAAAACACCAAAAAGCATTTGGTGAAATATTTGAGATGAGATACCAGGCTTCTTCTAAACATGTCATTTTAATCTCAACTGCATGTTGTTGGATCCATTACTGTCCCTTGTCATATGTTTATTTCATCGTACATATTTCAAACCATATTTAGACTAATGAAATAAACGTTTTTTTTTGGGACCATTTAGTAGGATTAGTGAGTTGTAGGGTATTTGGTTATTGTAAGGTGTTTTGTAGCTTCTGCACTTTTCTATATATTAAATTTACCCTTTCCAATGTGAGTAAGTGTTGATATACTTTAAATACTTTCTGTTTAGTTTTCCTATTCTCAAGCTTTGGAGATCTTATACTGTTTTCCTAATTTCACATATCTCCATTCTGTGTTGTGATCTTGTGTTTTCCAACAGTCTGCGAATACATTGAATTCAACTTGAAAGCAGTCATGTAAAAGAGGGTCGCAACATCAACACCAAATTGCTAATTCCCCATGTCAATAACAATGTGGTTAATGTCTGCGGTTACCTGGGGAGACCTTTTACCTTTGATCTCCCATCTGAATGACGCTGCATTTATTTTCTTTGATATTTTGTAAAGCTTTTCTGCATCAAGGGATTTGGGATAGAAATGTATGACAGCAAGGTTCTTATACCCCTTTTTAGGACAGACCCCTGTGGTCCTAAAAGTACTTCATCTTTGTTTCTACTAATGGAATATCTCCAAAGGGAACATTACTGCAGTTCATACTCTCAGTGCTGGGTTTTTGTTCACTTCCTCCCTCTGCTTTCTATCATTTTTTTTGTTGTTCTTATTTTGTCCTTCTCCAGCTCTGTGAAAGCCTTAGGGGGACGACGAATCCAACTCTCACACAATACTGATTCAGTCTAGGCCGGAGTGGTGGAGTCTAAAATAAACTCATGGGCATTTTTCCTGTTTTTCAGTTAGTTTCTCACAAACGAAAAGCCACACAATTAAAGTCTAAGTACCAGACAGTAAATGCAGTCGGACGCACGATTCAAAATTACTTTCATCTTTTCAGGTTGCTGCCCAGAAAGTATTTTTGTTCCATGACTATACTGCCGCCATTTACAGACTAACTTACTTTTTTAAAATAGACAAATGGTAGAAACATTATTGCACCTTATGATGGAAAATTGAAATCATGATTGACAGAATCTCCTCGACTTCTTCAAGCTATTTATTCCCTCTCAAGTGGATGAGTTTTTGAATGGATAGCAATTTGTGATATTCATCCATAATGTACTATATTATACAGGACTAAGAGTTTACTGCCATGCTGGTGGTTAAGTGAGACTGTTTTGCACTGCTTTGAGGCAAATGCTCTCACTCCCATATAATACTAAGATGAGTAGAATGACAATGATAGCATGCTAATTATTGAGCAGTTTTTAAATGTCCACCATCTCATTTTAGCATGTTAAAATCTGATAATAAGCACTTCTTCACTGGAAGAGCACTTTATCATGTTTAATCTATACCATAGAGCAGGGGCCTCAAACTCAAGGCCCGCAACTTCATTTTATATGGCCCCGCAAGAGCTTGCAAAGAATATAATACGTTTATTATACGGTTACAGAAGCAGGTTGCCCATAAACTACATGTCCCACAATGCATCTCGTTTTGTGACACGCCACTGAAGAGACTTGCAATTATTTGCCCTGGACTTCTGCTTTCAGACGTAGTTAATTACTAAGTTATTATCCTATCCAATAATAATCCAATTCAGAGGCAATAATGTAATATAATACATTATTATATATATATATATATATATATAATATATTTATATAGTTACAGCCGGCCCTTTGAGTGCAACCTTTATGCGAATGTGGCCCGCGATGAAAATGAGTTTGACACCCCTGCCATAGAGTATACAAGAGGACACTTTTTTCAAACACGTCAGCGTGTTGGGAGAGTTCACTCTTTTGGATTTTAGCCTTTGCAGACCCTTTACATGCACACAACCTATAACACACTACAGGAGAGGGAAAACCCAAAAGAGCACAACAGGGCTTTTAATCTTGCTCAGTGACGCTGAAAGTTATTTACAAATGTTATATTATGAATTATATATCCAGAAATATGTTGTGATAATTTGCATGTTGGGTCCTGTATATTACATGATCTTTTCTAAATGAAGAAGCACAGATGTAAATGTCACATTTGTGTATTTCACACTGATTCGAAATCAGTGGGTGCTGAAAGCTGTTCTTATTCTTAGCCTTGCACACAACATATCATTCATCCTTGATTACTGCACGCCCGCAGGCAGAATCCCTGCTTGTGCTTTTATATCCCACCTCTAGATATCAGCGGAGCCTTTCCCCTCTGCAATCAGACCACTGTGACAATTCACTCATTACATCTGAAGCCCCAGAGCTGCTTTAAAGCCTTCCTCAGTACCCGTCCGTTTCTCTCACTACTTCATGAAACCTCACATCTTCCTAACCCCATACTGTGATGGTGGCTCCCGTCTCCTAGCAACCAGCCCTCTTAGAGGAGGTGACAGAATTTGAGTGGGCACCCTCACCTCTCCGCATACAACCCCTTCCCCCCCACCTCCCTCACCCTCACCCTCCCTTCCCGGATGCTCTTCATGTCAAGTAAACACGTCTCGCTCTGTGGTGCAGTCGGCTTCGTGCACTTACGCATTGGGGTTACTGTATTTAAATGGTAATGAGCCTGACATTCGTTGAACTTCATGCATAAATATTTGAATCACAGTGTGAGTAGCTTCTAGTAAAACCGGTCATAGTATGACCTCAAAATGACTTTTCCGTGCAGGGTATCGGCCATGGCCAACATCTTCGTCAATGTCATTTTAAAAATGTTGTTAGTCCACCATCAGTTACAGTCATAGTTGGCCATTCAGTTTCTCAGTGCAGCCATGAGTCCTAAAATAAAGGTAAATGTATTTTTGCATACTTCAGGTTTACTAATGTGCAAGTCCATTTTTTTTATGTTAGGTGTCTGAAATAAGGTCTGTGGTGGTTACTTAAGCTGGATAGATTTAAACTTGATCTTCCACAACATAAATTACATCAGTAAAGAGCCAAATTGTGAATTTCTATATCTTAAAAACGGTGTTGCTAAGTGAGATTTCTAAACTTCATTCCACCAAATATTAGCTGCTTTTAGCTAAGCGACAGTGATGAAGTCATGTGACCGTGCTGTAGTGAGTTTATTTTTCATTTATGAAGATTGCATTGACGCTTTAAAAATCATAAAAGTGGTGTGGATATGTGGAGATTATTCTGCTGAAAAAGACATGTAAGTATCATAAATGTTTGTTTTCCAAGGAGTCTTTTTTAATGCAATATTCGAGTAGGCCTATCCAATGGAAAAATATCAGTCTTTTTTTCAAGGGAACCATCATCCAGCATGCTCGTATATCAGAAACGAAGCTTTCCAACAGCTCATTGGAGAGTAATATTCTGTATCGAGAAGCCACTTGTGGAAAGGAAGGAAGAAAATGTTCATAGTGGCCAAACGGTGGAAATACAACTTTCCTGTCAGTCAAGTGAACCCATTAGATTTAGAGGATTATCTGTAAATTAGTGTAATGTCTTTTTTTGAGGTAACTTTGCACCAATGTAGGAGAGATGTTTCTAAAATACACCCGCCCTAGCTTTAACTTGTAATTTGTTGTCAGGTGATAAGTTATTATTTAGATTCAGAATAAGTTGCCAGGAAATCCCAATAACATTTGTTTTAAAATGTCTTGCATATTTTTCAGAGACATATGCGCTTGGCGGTTGCAAAGTAATGTAAAAAATATGCATAATAGCTGTTGCTTTTTCTGTAACTAAAGTGGCAAAAAAGGTGCCTATTAGCAAGTTTTCCTGTAATCTTTTTTTGGTAAAACTCTTAATCAAGTAACTAAATAAAATAATAAGTTAAAGGGAGCTATCTAACTTTTGAAAAAACCACAAGTTGACAATGTTAGCTACCTTAAGCTAATGGTCATTATGGCAGGCTGTGTTTAATTTAGTTGAACAAGTCATTTGGGAGCCATAAAAAACAGTATTCTTCCTTCCGAAGTTACTTTAAAGCACCTTTTAAATGTGTTATGGATAGCGTCCTTTAAAAGGACCTCAAACACTTAATAAACAACATCAAATTCAGTTTGCAAGTAAGAGACATTTGAGCCATTAAGTCAGTGATTTAGGAGAACACTTTTGGTACTGTGCATACATTAAGTCAACATTAAGAAATATTAAAAGGTTTTGTCTTTATTGAGTATTGCATTGCCTCTTATTGCCTGATATAAATGTGCATATTTCGTATGGCTGCGCATATTTATTTGTCAGGGATTCAAGTAAAAGTCGGAGACTTTAATCTAGATTTTAATTATGAGCGATAACTTAACCCTCTGAGGTTTTTGAATGTAAATCCCATCAGGCTGCGCTCACATTTGTACTGGCTGCAGCCAGGAGCTGCACACTGGTGAGATATGACGTGAGTGGTTGCTAAATGGCAGCACTTGAAATAGCCTACCTGCCATACTGCTCTTCCACTTGCTGATACGATCACGACCGCATCGGAAGCATTTCAGCACCAACACGCTTTGGGCAGCTCCTCTGTTTTCTCTTTTCCTCCAGGACGTACACATCTGCAGGATAAAGTGGAACTTGAAAGACACAACGTTTCATTTAAGTTGCATTTTTTATAATTTAGGAGATGGATATTAATCGACCAGCAAATGGGTCCTTTTTTGATTTCGTTGGAGGAGTTCAACTTCTCCAGGGGGAGGAGATCAGGACAGCCATGCCTGTTGTTCTCATCGGGATCTGCGTGTCCGGAGCAGTTGGGAATTTGCTCGTTTTGCTGATTTTGATCTGTGACTTTAGAAACAAAAGGGGCTCCGAGGTGAAAGTCCTCCTCTCATCTCTGGCCTCCTTGGACTTGGCGATCTTGCTGCTGTGCGCTCCTGTGCGCGCGATCACTTACTACAAGCAAACCTGGACCCTGGGCAGCTTCGTGTGCAGCACCACGGACTGGTTCCAGCACTCGTGTGTGGTTGCAAAAACTTTACTCCTTGCAGTCACAACAAGAGCCAAACACACTTTGGTCCCCAGTCCCAACACGGGGCCCCTGAACATCCCAACGTGGATCCATGGAGCCGTGGTGATTACCTGCGTCGTGTCCATGATGTTTCCAATTCCCCAGATGCTTTTCGCCTCTCTGGTGCCTCATGCCCGAGACACTATTTGCGTCTACAAAATGCCAGCGTGTGCAGCCGACTTCATGAGTTTGTTCTACAAGATTTATCCAACTGCATGCTATGTGGTGCCGGTCATCTTCACCATTGCCTACTACACCAAAGCTCTGCACACCGCGGTGAACCACGCACCTAGCCCGCAGCGCCAGAGCAAAGTCACCCTTGTTTTGTTGTGTCTGAGTGGAGCTTTGGGGCTCATGCTGCTGCCAGAGTGGGGCACGTTCACCTGGATCAGGCTAGGGTACAACAAGCCTCCCGTGGGTTTGATCATCTTTGCGCAAGTCATGGTTTACGCTTGCAGCTCCTTCTCTCCGGTGATCCTAATGACCATGTACGACGACGTGCGCCAAGGACTGGTCCAGATCTGGTTCATCGCGTCCTGCAGAGGGTCGAAGCAGCTTCCCAGCAACAAGTGTCAAAAAACGGAGGGAAATGGAGCAGAAGTGGGGGCCAACTCCGTGGAAAACGCAATCGCACAGGAGGGGGAGATGACCATCCCAGATGTGGAGCACTTTTGGACAGGGCGCAGGAATACGCACGTGGAGGTTGAGCAGGATCCGGTTCCATGGGAGAGAGAAGAGAAAATGTTATAGAGAATCAGATGTGAAAAGTGTTTTTTACTCGGCTTGTTTCTAGTGTGTTGACCCACAGTGCATACCCTCGTTGAACAGCTGTTTGTGTTGTTATTAGATGTGAAATAAAGTATTTCAGTGTTTCTCTTTTGAATATCTGTTATTGCCTGCAGTTTAAATCAACTGTATTAGAGGAGCTTTGTACAAACCAATGTAAACATTGAGGACATTATGTAATATTTAGTTGTGATTGTGTTCATGGATAATAAAACATTCTCAAATATGGACTGCTCTGTTGTTTTTTTTGTATCAAAGCTACAATCACTCAGCCTACTTTAATCACGGATAAAATACAACTCAACCATCAAATCTCTCCATGTGATTGTTATGAGATGACATGCAGAGATCATTTCTCCATATTAAAAATCAGAACTAATCCAGCTGCATGTTTTAGGTCAATCATGTCATCAGCATTTTGGCAGATTTGGTAAGCAGTGGTGTAAACACTGGTCAATGTTTTTCTTTACTTTTCCTCATTTAGCATGAAGAAGTAGGCATAAAAGTGCATTCTGCAGTATTTATTTCAAAGTCATACATTTTAAAACATATTCACGATGCATAATGGTGAAAGAAGTACTCAGAACTCTACAGTACAGTGTATCATTTTCTTAAAGTTAAAGCAATGCATTTAATCAACATAAAGTATACCAAAAGTGATCAACTTCAAGTAAACAGTTGTTTAACACATTTTATGGAGTAAAACATAGATGTGTCTTTTAAATAGACTTATCAGTTTTTTTTAAGTATTAATAAATATTGACAGATACTGTACATAAAATATTAATTTAGTGCTAAGTCAAATGTTTCTTCTGAGGGTAAACATGCACTATTAAAAACTTTAAAATTCCCTTATCTGCTTATAACTTATATGTGCAATAAACACTTTTTTATTTTATGGATTAATGTATAGGTCAATTCAGTTAAATATGTTTGGGTGAAAATACATTAAGAAACACTTTAAAGGTACTCATATGTGCGTATAACAGTTTTGTAATGTGTTATGCACATTGTTTACATAGTGTTTATTGATATTAGAATGATTGGAGTAAAATGTTCCTATATTGTCACATTGCTTATATTCAACTATTAAGGCAGATAGATAAGTACACATTAAGTGATAAAGTTCTCTGAGGCATCATTGAAGCATTTATGTGACAACTCAAGCGTGTAGTTTGAGTTACCTCTGCAGTAAATTCACATTTTACACATTTGAGACAAGAATCCAGACACCGTTAGATACTTGAATCTTAATGTTTGTGATGCTACAGTATCATGTACAGAGGATGGTAAGCTGCCCATCTCCCCCTCACATGACCTGCGTTAACAGACTAACCTTTCAGCGTTGGTTAAAAATAGAAAAGGAAAGAAAAACATGCTTTTAATCGTCTGTGTGTATCCAGTAAAAGCATCGGCCGCCTGTGGCTCCGGCTCCGCGGCAGATTTGACATTTTAGTCTCCCTGAGTGAAAAGAAAGGTTATAGGTCGAGTAAAAAATGAAAAGCCCTCTTCATCCGGCACATCATTTATTCAATAGACTGTGTCTCCAAAAGTCTGCCCTTGGGTCACTTGGTTTTTCTTTTCTTTTTTATTATTCACACTTTTTATAGAGCTTTATATAAAACCACACTGAATACCAGACATCACAGAGTCACAGCAGCATTGAAGTACAAAAAGTAGATTTAGTTTTTATACCATACTTTGTAGATTGGTTTTAAGAGCAAATATATAGCAGAGTCTTTATTGTATGTTGACCTTAATATTTATAAATTCAGTTTAAAATATCTGTATTATATGTCCGGCAGTGGCTCAGTCAGTAGGGGCTTGGACTGGGAGCTGTAGGGTTGCCGGTTCAAGTCCCCGACCAGAACTAAAAAATATGGAGTGTGCACTGCTACTTGGAGAGGTCCCAGTTCACCTCCTGCCCTGCCGTGGTGCACTGGACACCCCCCTTCCCCCCTCACTCCCATTGCTCCCTGGGCTCTGTACAGTATCTGCCCACTGCTCCTAGTACTAGACTCCTGGTACTAGGATAGGTTAAATGCAGAGGCTACATTTCACTGTGTGTGCTGTGTGCTCTGCATGTGTGACCATTAAATAGGGTTTCATCCCTCCCAAATTCTATATAAAAGTGTGACATATGATATTTAAAGATGTGGTGGCCTGCTTTGTCTTTATGTTTTCATTCTTTAAATATTTGTATCCTTATTATTGTTCTATTTCAATTTTTTCAATTTTTTTATTTTCTTAATTGTCTTCTTTCTGGAAGGTTTGTGTAAAGACAAAATCAACATAGTTTGACATGTTTACATGCTTTAGTGTTCAAAAAGTGCTTTATTTTTAAACGAGAGGCCTGTCTGCTCTGATTGGTTAAGTGTTATGATTGATCAACCGCTTACAGATGTCCCGCCCTTACGCCTGTTACAACGCGACGGAGCGCTAGCCAACAGAGGCGTGATTGTTACGCAGTCATGTCACTATGTTACAGAAGTAAACAACCTAGGCGTTTCGGGCAGGAGTGGGAGAGAGTGGGAGAGAAACTCCCTCTGGATGGAACTTCGGGATTTTAGCATTTGCAGACCATTTATATGCACAAAAGCCTATATAACACACAAATAGCATAATAGGGCCCCTTTAATATAAGCCTCAATATGCACAGCCTACCAATGTGCATGAAAGTGGTTGTGCAATGAGCATGATTTAACTTCATGGTAACATTGGTGAGATTTAAATAAGAATGTAGGCCCTTTGCTATAGTCAATTCTATGATGAAAGAATGAAATTAATTGGTGTTTACTGATGTTCTCCCCATTCTGTTTGCTGCCTTAACTGGGTTAGAACCCCAATGGTGATTTGACCTTTGACTCGATGGTGTTAGTTCATGTGTGAGCAATACACGACTCAGATCACAGACACAGCACTTTACGGACAACCGCCATGCACTCAGCAGGGAGTCAGGGTCGAGGTCAGGGTACTTTGTCATAACCCACAGCGATATGACACAAGTATCATCAATTTTCCCTCCTTCATGTTACTATCACATGAAGAGATACTATTTGCAACAATCTCATTAGAAGTTAAATGTTCTCAGAGATACAGTAAGTGGTCATTTCCATCATCAAAGAAGCCATAATGAATCCTGGTATGTAATGCTACAGTATGTAAGCAGCAACAATGCGTGGTTCACTTGGCTATTTAAACATAATAGAAATTGAACTGCCTTCAGGGGATGAGGTCCATACGGTCCCATTTCTGCTTTACATAGCTCCCTTAAGTGTGCATGTAAAAAATATACCAATGAAAGCCATCTCATGCATCATTCATGCAGACAGTGAGCTCCTTCATACGTGGTTCAAAGGTCATCCGTCTCTGCTGAAGGCTGAACTCATCAACTTCAACCAAAAGCTGAACTCATATTAAATGAAGACGCAGTCAGGTTTGATCAGCAAAAGGAAAAGAAGAACAAGAAGGTAGGATTAAGTAGCAGATGTCACTTTATGTATACTTCAAAAGGAAATATTGTACATTTTTGCACAGTTTTTTGACAACCTTATAGCTACATTAAAAATAACCTATATTGAAAATCCTATTTAAAGGGCCCTATTATGATTTTTGGGGTTTCACTTTATTATATAGGGTTAGGGTTTTTGTTCATGCAAATGATTCTCAAAGGCTAAAAAGTTCCCTCCGGAGGTATAGTGTCTCTCCCACACACTCCCCCACTGCCCGAAACGCCTCCATTGGACTCCTTTGTTCACTTCCATGACATAATGACATCACACATGTGAAGAGGTTCAGCTTTTCTTTTTCACAACTTTCATGGTTTTGATTCCTTTGATAATTGTGGACTGTAAGGGAAACTTCTGTAGCAATGGAGAGTCAGGACTCAGAGAGACACGAGGAGAGTTGGAGCTTTGATGTAAAACTCTGATGGTTTATTACAAGTATCGGCCGGAGGATTCACGTCACAAGTCACAGCAGCCAGAGGTTCTGACTGCACGGGAGAGTTGCCACGTCAATTCTGCTGAAGAGCCTCTCTCTCGATAGACCTTTTAACTACACTGAACAAAAATATAAACGCAACACTTTTGTTTTTGCTCCCATTTTTCATGAGATGAACTCAAAGATCTAAAACATTTTCTATATACACAAAATAACCATTTCTCTCAAATATTGTTCACAAATCTGAAAAAATCTGTGATAGTGAGCACTTCTCCTTTGTCGAGATAATCCATCCCACCTCACAGGTGTGGCATATCAAGATGCTGATTAGACAGCATGATTATTGCACAGGTGTGCCTTAGGCTGGCCACAATAAAAGGCCACTCTGAAAC